CACACACACGCTCACACACACACACATACACACACGCTCACACACACGCTCACACACACACACACGCTCACACACACACACTCACACACACGCTCACACACACACACATACACACACGCTCACACACGCACGTACACACACACACACACTCACAGCTGTGAACACTAGAGGGAGCTGCTGCCTTTGATGACAGTCTGACTCTCCTGCTTCATCAGCATTGGTGTAGGGAAGCTGCTTTCTGACTTTTTCATTTTTTATATATATATATATTAGTGGTGTCAAACAATTAATCGCATCCAAAAATAAAAGTTTTTGTTTACATACTATATGCATGTGTACTGTGTTTATTTATCATGCGTATATATAAATACAAACACATGCATGTATATATTTAAGAAATATATGCTGTTTATATATTAAATATAATATAATTGTATATACTATGTTATAATTATATTATTATATGTTATTATTTTCAAAATATATACTTTGTGTTTGTATTTACATAATAAATAAACACAGTACACATGCATATAGTATGTAAACAAAAACTTTTATTTTTGATGCGATTAATCGTTTGACACCACTAATATATATATATATATCCATCCATCAAGTCACCTGAGCTGCGGTGGCTCGTAGCGCCGATCTCGTCATGCGAAGTGAATGGCCGCAGCCAATGGCAAGATTCCATTCATGGAGGAGATGGAGCCATCCCCGATCCGTTGAACCCAAGTAACCTAACCCTATGTGAACTGTGTGACATTTTCCACCTTCTGACTCATAACAGTAATATTCCTGATATTGGATCTGCCTCCCAGGCTCTGCATTTAGTTTCTTTGCCATGATACGTGTAGGCCCAAGTGGGAAGTCTCTCGCTCAAAATGCTCAAGAGATGTCACCAATTTTGATGCAGATTCGTCTAGCAACGCGACATTATCTGCGTAGTCTAGGTCAGTGAAATCATGTTCTGGCAACTTAACGCCATTCTGTGATGCTATTCGCTCGAGGATCCAATCCATGGCTCTGCAGAAAAGTGCTGGGGCCAGAACACAGCCCTGCCTAACTCCGGAGGTAGTTGTAAGCACCTCGGAGAGTGAGCCATTAACCCTCACTCTGGCGGTAGTACCTGAATGAAGGTCCTTAATGCCCCGTAGTGCACTCCATATTTTTATTAATTCACCATTTGTAAACTGATGTTTACTGTTAATTTTTTAGAAATATCACTAGCATTTGTATTAAAACTGTATTCACTGAATGTAATCAAAAAATGGAGAATCAAATCAAGAATCGGATCGAATCAAGAGCTTGCGAGTCAGAATCGAATCGGGACATCTAAATCGATACCCAGCCCTACTGATCCTTGAGATCAGCTTGGGACATCCCTACTTAAGACATGACTGTTTTATGTCTTATGTGTGGATTTCGCTGCTAGAGTTTGCTTAACTAGTGCTGTTAAACGATTAATCGTGATTTAATTTCATCCAGAATAAAAGTTTTTGTTTGCATAATATGCGTGTATACTGTATATATTTATTATGCGTATATATAAATACAAACACATGCATGTATATATTTAAGAAATATATGCTGTTTATATATTAAATATAATATAATTGTATATACTATGTTATAATTATATTATTATATGTTATTATTTTCAAAATATATACTTTGTGTTTGTATTTACATAATAAATAAACACAGTACACATGCATATAGTATGTAAACAAAAACTTTTATTTTTGATGCGATTAATCGTTTGACACCACTAATATATATATATATATCCATCCATCAAGTCACCTGAGCTGCGGTGGCTCGTAGCGCCGATCTCGTCATGCGAAGTGAATGGCCGCAGCCAATGGCAAGATTCCATTCATGGAGGAGATGGAGCCATCCCCGATCCGTTGAACCCAAGTAACCTAACCCTATGTGAACTGTGTGACATTTTCCACCTTCTGACTCATAACAGTAATATTCCTGATATTGGATCTGCCTCCCAGGCTCTGCATTTAGTTTCTTTGCCATGATACGTGTAGGCCCAAGTGGGAAGTCTCTCGCTCAAAATGCTCAAGAGATGTCACCAATTTTGATGCAGATTCGTCTAGCAACGCGACATTATCTGCGTAGTCTAGGTCAGTGAAATCATGTTCTGGCAACTTAACGCCATTCTGTGATGCTATTCGCTCGAGGATCCAATCCATGGCTCTGCAGAAAAGTGCTGGGGCCAGAACACAGCCCTGCCTAACTCCGGAGGTAGTTGTAAGCACCTCGGAGAGTGAGCCATTAACCCTCACTCTGGCGGTAGTACCTGAATGAAGGTCCTTAATGCCCCGTAGTGCACTCCATAGTGCTTGACGATCCACAGAGTCAAACGCTGCCTTAAGATCGACATAGGTTACTATGAGTGGATTTCTTTTGTGAGTTGTCACAGCGTGTAGGATGGAACAAAACCTCGTCGGAGCCGTAATGGATAACGGTAACAATACGCTGATCTTTTGCTGCTTTTAAATTAACATTTATTTATAAAACAAAATATAATCATCTTTGGCCATATTAGCCTACTCAGTAGCATTAACACAGGCTTTACTCCCTTCAAACTTGATCTGGAATGTCACCGTTTCTGTCACTGCAAATTCCCGATCAGGCGAACGAACACACACACACACACACACGAAATCGTCTGCCTTATGGGAAAAAAATTACATAAAAAAAATGTAGTTAATATTTGCATCATTTGATTTTTTTTATCCACCCGCAAATAATCAGAATGCATTTTTTATTACCCGACCCGCGGATTATCCGCAGCATCCGTGGATATAGGAAAAGCAAATGTTTGCTGAGTAAATCAGATGGACTCACTGAAAATGCAGATTCATTCTCTGCCAGCAGGAGGAACAGAGGTTTCCCCACTAACGACTGTACACAAAGCAGCGCTGAGCTCACAAACGCTGCTTTATCAGGCATATAACATGCAAGATTAAATGAAAATGACATTGAAAATTTTCTAAAGAGAGAAATACAGTGATATAAAAACACCCGATCAGGCGAACGAACACACACACACACGAAATCGTCTGCCTTATGGGAAAAAAATTATATAAAAAAAATGTAGTTAATATTTGCATCATTTGATTTTTTTTATCCACCCGCAAATAATCAGAATGCATTTTTTATTACCCGACCCGCGGATTATCCGCAGCATCCGTGGATATAGGAAAAGCAAATGTTTGCTGAGTAAATCAGATGGACTCACTGAAAATGCAGATTCATTCTCTGCCAGCAGGAGGAACAGAGGTTTCCCCACTAACGACTGTACACAAAGCAGCGCTGAGCTCACAAACGCTGCTTTATCAGGCATATAACATGCAAGATTAAATGAAAATGACATTGAAAATTTTCTAAAGAGAGAAATACAGTGATATAAAAACACCCGCGCCTCGTTTTGATATTTAAACGTGCAGTACGTGCTCAAGTTTATTCAACGAAGCCTTTTGGAAAATCCGTCAGTTTTGATATTGTGGCGAGCGCCACAAATAAATAAATGTATGGGAAAGACATCCCACAGCACAACCACCTCAGCCCAACTTCAGTCTACTCATCACCTTAACTTTAACTGTGTTTGTTGCCGGCGCCAGACTGATAAACACACACAGACCGGAAGTTAACTTCGGGCCAGGCGCGTGCGCCCGCTGAAACCGTCTATATAAAGCTTGAAGCATCGGTACCGGCTGATCACCATGACAAGAAATCGGTACTCTGTATCGGCTGCAAAAATCCTGATCGGGGCATCCCTACAGCTAACCTCTATATCTAGAGGCTGTCCCACTATATATATATTAGGGATGCACCGATACTGGTATCGGTATCGGGCCCGATACTGAGCTTCTGTACTCGTACTCGTTAAAACACCCCGATACCACACAGCATGTGATAAGTGCCTTATTCAGACAAAGAAACCGACAACAAACAGCAGAATGGAGTTATTAGAGATTAAGGATGTCTACTACGTAGTATATGTATGCAATGAATATAACGTTGAACATTCAGTATTAAGGCCTGTATAGCTGATGTGTGCGAGCTGATGAGCAAAGCACGCTGAGTGGATTGAGCGCGCGGCGGCGCAGATGCATGAGCTTGTCCAGTGAATATATCTTTCTCACAGACTTCACTGGAAAGCTTGTAGTTCGGTCGGATATGTCAAAAACAAGTAAAACAATGCACAAGTTACTTAACGGGAGAGAGAGAGCGCGTGCACGTCTGTTGTGTGATCTTTGATGTTCACTCACTTAGCACACGCATCATTTGGATTAAAACTAAATCATAAAAATAAAACCATTCATAGGGGCATTCACTATAAACATCATTTATGTTCAACCTTAGGCATACACGACTTTCTGGCGAAAGTGAATCTAGCAGCTTGTGTGAAATGCGCTAGGCTGTGCTATTCTGCATCAGTACAGTACGTGCACGCGTCGCGTGTTTAGCTTGCTCGAGTGTTTCTGCATTATATGAGAGGCTTTGGAATATAAACTGCAGCACGTTTCAGATGGGAAAAAAACGCGATTTCAATTTCTGAAAATATCACAGTTAGGAGATTTATAACGAGCATTATTACAGCAGAGCGCGTGATTACAGTACTGAGCCGCTGCAATGGAGCAGCTCTAATGCTGTTACAGTAAAGATGATGTACCACAGAGCAAAACAATGAACAGCGAAAGTAACTAAAACTTGTAAAATACATTTTAATGGGCATAATTAAGTGTGAAAATAACCGAAGGATATACAGTGAAACCAAAAATTATTAAAAGTATCGGTATCGGCAAGTACCAAAAATAAAAGTATCGTATCAGACGAGTACTGGAAAAAGTGGTATCGGTGCAGCTCTACTATATATCGTTGCAAAAAATTTTAAATGCATTTTAACTTTAGTTGCAATTATTTATGAAAAGATGAAATGCATTATAATTTACAGTACCTTATACATAAAGGTTAGAATTGTTATTTATGAAAATAAGTAAGTTTTATTGTTATTTTTATTTTGTTGTTTTATTTTGCAGTAAAATGTTATTTTTATTTTGCATTAAACGCAGTCAAATCTATCAAATAATATAACTATAACTTCATTATCTACGTGAACACTAGACTGTAATGCCAGCAGTGTCAAGGTCATGGTTCAATTCTGTGAGTTCATGAACTTCATGCAATAAAAGCATCAGCCAAATGCATAAACCCAAACATAAATCTGCCATTTATCAGTGTATGTCTTAAAATGTATTTAAAAATATTTTAATATAAATAGTCTTATTTAAAAAAAAATAATTTTTTACTTCATGCATTTAATTTTTTTTGTTTATTGCTTGTTACACAGTGTTACATAAATCAAGGTTTTATACTGTATTTAGACATATTTTGCAATAAAAAAATAATATAATAATCATTAAATAAAATCGAAATAAAAAAGCCCATGTATTAATTAGTTATTTAGCTTTAATGAAAGTGCAGGAGCACTTGTCACATTGTTATGATGATCGTGAGCGTTATAGACAGAGGAGATGAGTGTGTGTTTGTGTGTTTTCAGGTTCATCCAGTGCTGATGAATAATCATCGTCCCGTCTCTCACCGCCACAAACTGCTGCGCAGGACCGTCAGCGTACCTGCAGACAGCAGACCACATCCTGAGTCAGGTACACACACACACACACACACTCTCACTCTCACACACACACACACACACACTC